GCCGCCGGCGGCAGCCCCAGTTTTGTGTGGCAAGGCTGGGATGGCAAGATAAGCTAGGGAACAAATACAGTAGAGACTTCAGCCAGCCCCTTCCTAATTCTAGGCAGATTATTTTGGGAAGCTTTTTCACATTATAACTCATATATTATATCTGTACCACAACTGAAGTGTGAAAATGCTAAATCAGAATTAATGCAATTTTAACTGCACCTTAGATAAGCTACTGAAAAATAAGATTAAATCATATATTCTTAATGAAACTAAAAGAATCAGTGAAAGGTGGGAAAGAGGTCAGAGGCCACACCAGGCCAAGTCCTGCAAAACCTTTGAACCGCGGACAAGATCCGATCTTTGCAGCGATCGCCTGCAAGAATGACCCTTGCCCGTGGCGGTGGCCGGGCTCTCCAGGCAGCCCCCGGTGACACCGGGTAGCCGGGCAGCTGTTTGTGCTGCTCGTGAAGGCCTCGGCACACTGCAGCCCACACACGGCCACGGAGGGCTGACACCACAGCCAAACCAGGTGGCACGATAGGGACAGAAAAAGATTTGATGCAGATGAAGGGAAGTGGGAGGTTTCAAGAAATTCTTCCTTTCGAGAAACCCTGATAAATCTAAGCTTATTCAAACCATATGGAGCGAATGCAATCAGCCGACTCTCCATACTGCACAGCCGCAACTCTTGTGCCAGCAAACCAGCTTCACCCTTGGTAGTCTTCTCCTTTCCCACAGGCTTTGCTCGATCCAGATAACAGCATGGTTAAAAAGACAAGAGAGGTAGATTACAGTCATGATTAAAAGCAGATTAGTCATCGAGGCTTCGATTTAAAAAACAGATTCCAGAAGATGCCAAGAAGTTGCTGCTTCCAAAACTAGCTTTTTCAAAAGTCTTCTCCCTCCAGAGCGAGTGTGAGTGTGTCCCTGAACAGAGCTCAGAAGAATTGCTACATTATTCTCCATCACGGGACACTGGTATTGCTGTTGAGCTGTAGTAGGCGACGTGAAAGGCAGACTGCAGGATGGTGCTTGTGCTCTCAGATGTGTGGGAAGCTACTTCCGAAGGTACCTCTGGGCCAGGATAGCTGCGTCCAAAGGGTTCATGGGCTGGGCGTCATGGCCCAGGCGTCGCACGGGGGGGATGTTCCCAAACTGCCGCTTCTGTAGGAAGCTCTTGGCCTCATGCAAGGTGTTCTTCTCCTCGGCCAAGAGCAGCTGCTGCCTCATGTAGTTCTCAAACTCATACTGCGAGCACTCCTCCGTCACCTTCACCTGCAAGAAGCACCCCATCAGAGCCACAGCAACAAGCAACGGTCCCACAGCTCCCCTCCGATGGTCCCGAGCTACCATGGGATAACTGGAGCTTAATGCAAGCACCGAACCTGCTGCCAGACGTACAGGCAGGACTCACCAGTGCCACCAGGAACAGAGGTCTGGAAACCTCAGTGGCTCTGTCCTGACGCAGCTCATACCAACCCTGCCAGATATTCAGGGGCTGCAGCTGTTTGACCCCAGCTCTCACATCCCCCCCAAGCGCTGCGGAGGGATTTCTGATGGCAACACCGACTACAGCATCGCAGGCAAAAGCTCTTACAAGGCCGTCCCCAGGCAGTGAGGTCACTGGCCACCATTTCCAACACAAAATACACTGGCAAGAAAACAGGATGTTCGCTCCCATCGCAGAACTCACCAGGAGCCTGAGCCAACACCGCTACCTCCTCCCAGCTCTCCCAGCACGTGTGAGCTCTCAGCTGCGTGCAAGGGAGTGAGCGCTGCTCGGAGAGCAGCAACTGCCCCTGGGCCAGCTCCATGGCTGTCAAGCTCACTTCCAGGCAGCACGGCCAGCTGGATGTGAGTCCCGGTCCCAGCAGCATGAGCCTTTCCTTCCGCTGCACAGGACTGCAAGGGCCTCGGCCACCTCGCAGAGCGGCAGGCACCGCCGGGGGCTTGCCCGGCCCCCC